GTTCTTGGTTTAAAAAATATTTGAGAATTTTAAGAAATAGTCATGGTTCTTCAAAAAAAAATCCCGTTTCAAAGAATTTTTTAAAACTGAAAGTTTGAATTTTTCAAAAAATTCTGTCTCTGTGGAGCTCGGCTTCGAAACGCATTAGCCAAATCGAACGGGTTTTATATCTACGCTCCTTCCCCTTGCAGCTTTGCCTCGTCGCCATCGACATGTTCCAAACATAACTTGTCGCCGTTCCCTTTTCTTGCGCCAGTGCTATTTTGAGGAGTACGTACCACAGTTTGAGACGACATCGGGTAGGTACGGCCGGCTGACACGGCGGCATCGGTAAGTACGACCGGTGGATGCAGACAGGACAGACGAGGCCACGCCATGACCGTCGGGTTGCTTGCTCAGTTGCTCTGCATGCAGCTACTCGCTGACCTGACGCAGGGGAAAGAGGAGAGAAACTGCATCTCTCTCCAAGTTGACCGGCGCAATGTACACTGATCCATCGATGTCGTGCATGTGTACAGTCTGTGTCAGCAATGAAACTACGCAATCGATGACGCCATGTATTCTGCACATTATATTTGGTGAGTACGTCGTCTCCCCATCTAACTAAGAGCATTTTATTAGCATTCAAAAATAAATTAAGAGCAGTTTTAGCTCTTCTCTCAATCTTAACCCCTCAACCTCTTCCCTCTAAAAAAAACTCCTCAACCTGAAAAACACCTCAATCGCCTCTCCAAATTTAACTACACTAATTTTAAGAAGTTCAAACAATTTAGTACCTCCTCTTCAAATTTTGATAAGTTAACCTTTTTAGCACCCAAATTTGTCCTCTTCCAAAATTTAACTCCCAAACACAAATTTGCACACACTAGTCTTGTCAAAAACTATTTGAAACACAATTAACATAAGTTAGTGCATAGTTATACATAAGATTGCCACATTGAGCGTGAATGTGCTCAAACAAACCTACATAACCACTTGATTAACCTGGATTGGCACTTACACAACTGAAAGGTACTCTAATCCTCGTCGGGAATTAAGGTACTCTAATCCACAGGTCAGAAATATATAGTGCGCTGATGACTGCTATATCTAAACAGCAATAACTAGAAGGTACTAAAAAGTTTTAAGTGCACTCCCGTGAATAGATGTTAGATATTTAGATATAGGATCAGTGCAGTATATATTTGTGTATATCCAAAAGGACCCTTATTTGATGTCTTTTTCCAGAGAAAAACTATGAGATGTCTTGGTTTCGGCACTATGCTTTGTATCTTGTATCTAGATTAATATAGGTTGCTCTCACTTTCATTATTAAATAGGATCCTAAATTAGATTATTACCTATGAAAGTGTGCTATGATAAAAGCATTGGAAGAATCTTCCATCATGTTGGTCTGGGAAGTATCATATATTAGTGTATGATACTACCTCCACAATGCATAACATCATAGATTGTTTTCATATCGGCATCATTTATTGTCATGCATGGCATGTACTAATACATCATGTAATATGATACGGTACCATATCATGATACTCAATCCTTCCTCTTCTCATTTAATTGTGTGACACCTCAACAAAAATGCCTAGTTAACATGCATGATACAAGCTATAATACTCTCATTGTGACTAGTCTCAGGATACGTATGTTGATTAAACTCTTTTCAAGATTAGCACTAATATTTATTGTGCAACTGGCCCAACTGCAAGCTGTAGATGCCAAAGTTTAGGGACAAACTCAACGATTGATCTGCCAGGAAACAATACATTGTGCGTAGGTACGTACATCTGGCTTGGAAGTTTGCACAACAGACAATTAGATTAGATGATAGCTGAGACGTATGCGAGAGTGAGAGGCCGGCTTAAAGCACAATCATATGGGGAGTTAGTACCTCTAAACGGTTTTCTCCTCCCCACAAGAGAGTCCTAGCTACTCCCCACAAGAGAGTCCTACGCATCTTGGGATTTCCCACCTTCCATATGTGTCGTCGTCGATCTGCCTCCTCTCCCGTGCTTAGGGCCATGAAGGCGTGATAAATCCCGGGCCTTGTCAGTGGAAGGGCTCCAACTTCGGTTTTAGATGTTTTTAAATCTGTTTAGGGTTTGTGTCCCGCTTAGGAAGTTGAGACAACGGCGACATCTTGATGAAATATATTTCACCCTGCCTAGCCCCTAACACGACGGTGCCTCGCACGTCACTGGGTGTGTGGAGGTGTGTCTCCGCCGGATTTTGCGGGATTCTGTCGGTGTTTGTCTTCGGTGGATCCAGATGGACCCGTCTTTGTTCGTCCCTGTTCTTGTGTTTATGGATTGGATATTTCTTATCTATGTTTCTCTTCGGCGGTGATGATCGTTGTTCTGGATTGGAGGGCTGCCGGCTTGCTTCGGGAGCTGGCTTCTCTCCCTTGTTCGGTAGATAGGTTGGACAGTGGTGAGTGATCCGCATGTGGACACTTTTGGCTGTGTAAGCCGTGGCTTGTAGCAAAACTTCGCCCATCTTGGGCCCTTCTATCTATGCTTCTGATGCGTCAATATTTTGACGCGTCCTTGAATTGTTTTTCTGGCACTGGCCCTTAGGAGTCTTAGCATGGCGACTTTCTGATTGTCCATTACAACAAGGTTTGTTCGGCTCCTGTGAGAAAGGGGCGATGATGGGGACGTGCCTTCAGCTAGCTCCGGCGTGTGTAGTCGTCCTTAGGTGATCTACGGATATGAATTTCATTTTTAATACTTCTCATGCTCTTTGTACTTTCATGATGTTTGAAGAATAGATCGATAGTTTTCTGTAAAGAAAGGAGTTAAAGCAAACTATTAATTGAGGAAGAAAACAAGCATGCACCTTGACCAAACTTTTATTTAGGGAATGCCATCATGGCTAAGCTTTATTCAAACTTAAATAGGGTTACATTGTTCGTGAGCATTCTGATAACAAAATCAGGCGGCTCGTCTAGCTAAGTAAAAGAGTTCTTATTACAATAATTATGATTTGCTAGCACATGAGCCGCTTCATTAGCAGTTCTAGAACAATGCTTAAGCATGACCTTTCCAATCATCGAAGCTAAATCCACACACTTTGCAAATAGTGCTGAAGCTTCGTCCCACCATTGTGTTTGCCGGGTGCAAAAGTCAATTGCTTGTGAAGAATCTGATTCTACCTCAAGGCGATTAATACCAAGGGAATTTGCAAACTCCAATCTCTCATTGCTAGTGCTTCGGTTGTGATCACACACCCGCATAATCTATAAATTTGCATTAGGCAGCAAGGAAATTATCTTTTTCGTCCCGTATAATAGCTGCAGTAGCACCCATACCATCATCAACAGAGGGTGCTGCTGCATCCACATTTAGTTTGACATACCTTGGCTCAGGCTTAGTCCACCTCATCTCCGGCCAAACTTTATTTAAACAAAACAGTTACATCTGCTGTAGTTTGGTAATTATGCATGTTATTTCTCTCTCGAGCAGATAGAAAAAAAAAGAATAAAGTTACACAAACACGTACACGGCGAAGTATTGTTCGGATGAAAAAAAAGTCAATTGACCGTGCTATTAGTGGAGTATATAGCACCTGTTACCACACGCTGAAGAAATGATCAGATCAGATCAGACAGATTACAAGTCTACGGTGTGAGCTTCTTCTTTTTTTGCATGGTAATACGTGTCTCATTTATATAGAATAAAGATCATGTTACAAGGCACGTAAGCACCGGCCATACATGACTGAAAAAATAGGAAAATCCTATGTAAAATACCAGCGCCTGCCCTTTTCCTTCGACACCACCGAAGCAGCCATCAAAGTGTAAAAAGACAGATCACCTCTTCACCCAAGCTCGACGCGGCTCCATCGCTGATCAACAGCTTTACGGGCGTCCAAAGTAGTTTGCCAGAAGCAAAACCATAGCCATTGAAAGAATCAGACCGGGGCAACATGTCCCCGGACACGCCATCGAACTTCAGAACTAACACCCCCGCATGACGACTACGTCGGAGGAGGAAATCAGAACTGCCAGCCTTCGACCACAGACCCAGCACAAGAAACTCCATCTTCCAGCTGTCACTTGCACAGACAACCGCCTGCGCGTACTCCTGAACGACAAAACCTCCCTGCTCCACCATGACGTTGGAGACAACGCCACAGCAACGGGGACAGAGCAGAAGGAGAGACACACCTGATGGAGTCGCCGCCGCCGCCTCGCCAACACCATCCATGAACCCTAACGCTACCTATCTGTGGGATTGGCAGATACACGATGCCATCAACTCCGAGACGCCGCCATGAAGGGCACCGCCGGTGTGAGAGTGAAGTTGAGGCAGATTTATTCGTCCGGGCGCCGCTTCCACCACCTCAACAACGCACCACGACCTACAAATCCAAAACCTAACTACAGAGCGAAGGAACGGGGTCCCCCCTCCCTCCTGCCGCCGGAGCAGCCGAAGGGAGAGGGGACCAGCGCCCCGGCCGGTGAAGATCGGAGGAAAGAGATCGCCTCCCTAGTCGCGCCTTGGTGGCGGTGGCGGCTAGGGTAGGAAAAAGTCTCGAGCGATATGGACTTTTGCAGCGCTCTACGGTGTGAGCTTCGCGGCAGCTGTCTGTCACCTTCAACGACGTACACTCCTGTATAAAGTATGGACGTACGGCTCATTCGGGTCAAGGGAACGCCGCCTTGACTTGAGGCTAATTTTCCTTGTGCTTATAACCAATCAAACGCGGATGAATTTGCGAAACAACATTGGATGATTACAGGACTGTGGTACCCTTCCTAGCCTGCTAGCCAGTAGCCACGACCTATATATAAGCACCCCATGGCGCTCATTCCCGGCACAGAACAACAGCTAGCTACATCGATAGAACACAAAGAGCTCATCACATCTTTCTAGTTCACCGGCCGTTGTCGAGATGAAGCCCGCCGCGCAGCCGGTCACCGGCGTCCCCATCGGCGGTGCCCCCGCACCAGCCGCCTGGTCGTCCGGCCTCTTCGACTGCTTCGACGACTGCGGCCTATGTACGCGCATATAATATACCCTACCTCTCATGCCAATTTTCTTCCTCCAACTCATCTCCATGTCTCAATCGCCATGAATGCATGTCTAACACATATGATTTGTGCAGGTTGCCTGACGTGCTGGTGCCCTTGCATCACGTTCGGGAAGGTGGCGGAGATCGTGGACAGGGGCTCGACGTCGTGCGGCACCAGCGGCGCGCTGTACGCGTTGCTGGGGTCGCTCACGGGGTGCCACTGGATCTACTCCTGCACGTACAGGTCCAAGATGCGCGCCCAGTACGCGCTCCCGGACGATCCCTGCTGCGACTGCTGCGTCCACTTTTGCTGCGAGCCCTGCGGCCTCATCCAGCAGTACAAGGAGCTCAAGGCCCGTGGATACGACCCCGACATCGGCTGGCACCTCAACCTTGAGCGCGGCAACGGCGGCACCGGTGCTGGCGGCGTCAACCCGCCCGGCATGCAGGAGATGGGCCGCTAGCTCGTCAAACTCTGCCGTACGTGTGAATGGATGATCGATCGATCGAGTGTTGCTGGTGCTTGGTAAATTATTGCAAACTATAGTACGTACTTGTAGCTTTGTTAAGTTCCGAATGCATGTGGTGCGGTGAAGGAGTATGTTGTTGTATTGTACATGGTGATGTGATGAGTTGTGGGAGGAGGAGCAAGCGGGCAGGAGTAATGCCATGATGCATTTTGTTCATTGTACTCTATATTTGTATTTATTCATCATTTTGTACATTTGTACAAATAAAATCGAGCAAACGACGGGATCACCGTACTTTTACCGGGCCAAAAAAGATTTTTACCAGCTTTGTTAGCCAAAAATATCAAAATGCGTATAGTGCCTTTGTTAATTACTAGGAAATGTGTACGTGTAATACCCGTTCATATCAGGCATAAAGTTCATTGCACATAGATGTCAGGCAGAAAATTGATTGCGGAGTAGGATACCAATTACGCGTTAATTACATGGATCGCCCATATTTGCTAAGTTATTAATTGCATAGTCATGTTGAGCACATGCCATTGAAGCAATATATGTGGTTTGATTGACACTGTTTGATGACTGAGAGTTGTTGGATCTACTACTTTGGATCCTTTTATATAGAAATAGATAATAGATATTACTATTTTCAACACTTTTACCTTTCAAAGTCAAATCATGGATACCTAATCTTATTAATGATCTTATTGTTGAACATATTAAACTTGTTGTTTATGGTATATAAGAGCATCTATAGACGGTCTCCTCAAACCCCTTCTGTATGCCATGTAGGTGGCCCAATTAATGACCGGTGAGAGTTATGATGGTTGTCTCTCCTCTCCCTCCTCCCCCCTGTCCCCCTCCCCCTGTCCCCCTCCTCCCCTCCCCTTGCCGCTGGCCATGCTTCCCCCGACCCTCCCTCTTCCCCGTCGCCCCCCTGCTGTCTGCGGGGCGGGCCAGCGCTCCCTGCTCCGGGCGTGCGTTAGTTCTGGCGCTGCCCCCCTCGGCGTCGGCGCCCTTCCTTGGCTCGCGTTTTTGGGCGCTGGGCGACTCGGAGGAGTCGGCCTCTGATTCGAAGACCGGCGGTGGTTGTGTCGCTGGTGCCTTCCGGTCCTGCGGTGGGCCGCGTCCGGAAATTTGCTCCAGGCGGCCGGGGCAGGCCGGTGTCGGTGCCTTTTGGGTCGTCGGGGTGGTCACGAGTTGGTAGGCGCCGACGCGTGGTGGGTATGGGGCTGGCCCCCTCTCCGGATCGTGGTCTCCTTGGTCTTCCCCCTTCCGCTGTGGTGCCTGATTTGGGCGAGGTGGCTTCTCCGGGCGGTGGTCCTATTCGCCCTCCTCTTCTCCGGTCAGGGCCGGCGCCGGTGGCGGCGGGTGCGCCGTCGTGTGCGGAGGCGGGTGGTGGCCTAACCCTAGATCCAGGTTGCTCTGCGGGCGCTAAGGGCCTTGGTGGGCCTGTGGGCTTGGTGGCTCCTGGTTTGGCTCGGTCTGGGCCGTCCGGCCCACCAGCTTTGTCGTCCCTTGTCTCTTCCCCCCTTCCGTCTATGGGCCCGGGGCAGTTGGTAGTGGCCACTGCTCCTCGTCCTTCCCCCCCTTGGCCCGCTCTCCAGTTCCGGCCCTTTTGGCCCAGTCTGACCTGGCCTGCCGTGGCTATATATGGGTGCGCCATGGTGCATTTCCCCCCTTCCTAGGGTATTCGGCCTCCGCCGCTGATATCCGCAGGGCGCATTGACCCATTCACCATTTCTCCAGATCCACCTCTTCCCCACCTCCTCTCCTCCTCTCCTTCGCCGAAGTGATCGCCATGGACAAGTCTAGGGCGTCGTCCTCCGAGGCCCTGTCGGGGAGCAAGCGGGCCCGTGAAGTTTCACCGCGCAATGATGCGGATCTGGCCTATGAGGCGGAGCTGCGGTCGAAGCTCGAATCTGAGCGGGCGGCGCGCGAGCCTCACGGCGAGTGGGAGGAGTGGGAGGCGGGGTCGGGCCACTCCATGGCCAGATCTGGGACGCTGCTCCCTGGATTTGGTGCTGGGTCGGGGTCGGGGCCGGATCCGTGGGAGGTTGCTGCTGCTTCGGCTGGTGGTGGCTCTTCTTCATCGGCGCCGCGCCCCACTCCGGCCAGGGGGACGGTCCCTCCGCCTTGGCCTCCTCCCCACTCGTTTATGGCTGGCTCGGCTTCTCGCTCGGGGCCGCATTTCGGGCCTGGCTCTTCTCCTTCGATGGCTGGGCAGCGGCGTCCTCCCCCGTCTGCTCCGGGCGCATCTTCTGTGGTCCATGGTGATGGTATCCTTCCGCCGCCGCCTCCCGCTCCCCGCTAGCACTTGATACGTCTCCAACGTATCTATAATTTTTGATTGTTCCATGCTATTATATTACCCCTTTTGGATGTTTATGGGCTTTATTTTACACATTTATATCATTTTTGGGACTAACCTACTAACGGGAGGCCCAGCCCATATTGCTGTTTTTTTGCCTATTTTAGTATTTCGAAGAAAAGGAATATCCAACGGAGTCCAAATAGAATGAAACCTTCGGGGGCGTGATTTTTGGAACGAACGTGATCCGGAGAGCTTGGAGTGCAAGTCAAGAAGCTCCCGAGGGCCCCACGAGATAGGGGGCGCCCCCCCGTAGGACGCGCCCCCTGTCTCGTGGGCCCCTCGGGCGTCCACCGACGTACTTCTTCCTCCTATATATACCTACGTACCCCGAAAACATCCAGGAGCACCACGAAACACAATTTCCACCGCCGTAACCTTCTATATCCGCGAGATCCCATCTTGGAGCCTTCGCCGGCACTCTGCCGGAGGGGGAACACTAGTAGAAAAAGGGTCTAATGTAAAACTCATTAATCCCGGTTTGCAATTGAACCGACACTAATGTGACCATTAGTGCCGGTTCCAACGGCCAGGCGGACGGCGCTCATTAGTACTGGTTCGTGGCGAACCTTTAGTACCGGTTCGTGCCACGAACCGGTACTAAAGAGGTGGTGGCCTTTAGTACGGGTTGGTGGTTCCAACCGGTACTAAAGGTGGGGTCTTTAGTACCGGTTGGAGCCACCAACCGGTACTAAAGGTGGTGGTCTTTACTACGGGTTGGTGGCTCCAACCGGTACTAAAGACCCCCCCCCCTTTAATACCGGTTGGAGCCACCAACCGGTACTAAAGGTGGTGCGCTGCCACCCGCAGTGCACAATGTTTAGTCCCACCTCGCTAGTTGAGAGGAGCTCACACCGGTTTATAAGCCCCGCCACGGCTACCGTGTCGAGCTCCTCTCTAAGCAGGCCTTTGTGGGCCTATTGCAAGTCTTCTGCCCAGTGGGGCCTACTGGGCCGTACGGGCCTGCATCCTGGCCTAACTAGAGATTGGGTTTCTAGTCATATGCAGGCCGTACCAGCCCACTAGGCGGGCTGTTTTTGCTTTATTTCAAAAATAAAAATAAAAAAAATCCTTACCAACCGGGACTAAAGGTCCCCCAGACCACGACGCGCCTCGTGCCATGTGGTGGGGCTTTGGTCCCGGTTCGTGTCGAACCGGTACTAAAGGGGGGGGGACCTTTAGTCCCCACTCTTTAGTGCCGGTTCCAGAACCGGTACTAAAGGTCCTTACGAACCGGTACTAAAAGCCGTTTTTCTACTAGTGGAATCGACCACGGAGGGCTTCTACACCAACATCCTTGCCCCTCCTATGAGTTGTGAGTAGTTTACCATAGACCTATAGGTCCATAGTTATTAGCTAGATGGCTTCTTCTCTCTTTTTGGATCTCAATACAATGTTCTCCCCCTCTCTTGTGGAGATCTATTCGATGTAATCTCTTTTTGCGGTATGTTTGTCAAGATACGATGAATTGTGGGTTTATGATCAGATTTATCTATGGATATTAACTGAATCTTCTCTGAATTCTTTTATGTATGATTGAGTTATCTTTGCAAGTCTCTTCGAATTATCAGTTTGGTTTGGCCTACTAGATTGATCTTTCTTGCCATGGGAGAAGTGTTTAGCTTTGGGTTCAATCTTGCGGTGTTCTTACCCAGTGACAGAAAGGGTTGCAAGACATGTATTGTATTGTTGCCATCGAGGATAACAAGATGGGGTTTATATCATATTGCATGAGTTTATCCCTCTACATCATGTCATCTTGCTTAATGTGTTACTCTGTTCTTATGAACTTAATACTCTAGATGCAGGCAGGAGTCAGTCGATGTGTGGAGTAATAGTATTAGATGTAGGCAGGAGTCGGTCTACTTGTTATGGACGTGATGCCTATATACATGATCATGCCTAGATAACATCATAATTATTCACTTTTCTATCAATTGCTCGACAGTAATTTGTTCACCCACCGTAATACTTATGCTATCTTGAGAGAAGCGTCTAGTGAAACCTATGGCCCCCGGGTCTATCTCTTATCATATTTGCTTTCAATCTACTTTATTTGCCTCTTTACTTTTTTGCATCTATATTATAAAATACCAAAAATATATTTATCTTACCTTACTATCTTTATTAGATCTCACTTTCGCAAGTGGCCTTGAAGGGATTGACAACCCCTTTATTGCGTTGGTTGTGAGTTCTCAGTTTATTTGTGTAGGTGCGTGGGACTTTTGAGGAGCCTCCTACTGGATTGATACCTTGGTTCTCAAAACTGAGGGAAATACTTACGCTACACTTGCTGCATCACCCTCTCCTCTTCGGGAAAAACCAACGCTAGCTAAAGACGTAGCAAGAAGGATTTCTGGCGCCGTTGCCGGGGAGGTCTTCGCTCAAGTCAAGACATACCAAGTACCCATCATAAACCCATCTCCCTCGCATTTACATTATTTGCCATTTGCCTCTCGTTTTCCTCTCCCCCACTTCACCCTTGCCGTTTTATTCGCCCTCTCTTTCCCAATCTCCCCTCTCTTTCGCTTGCGTTTTTGTTTGCTTGTGTCTCCATGTGCCTTCTATGTGCTTGCATCTTTGCTTGCTAAAAATCTATTGATATGGATCGACTTAAAGTGTT